TACCTCCCTTATACTTCCCTTATACCTCCCTTATACTTCCCTTATTCCTCCTCCTCACAGTGGAGTGGAACTCTAGAGGCAAATAATGCATGTGATGCCACCATCCCGGGAAACCCCTCTTCCTAGGAAGCCTTTCCAGACTGAAAAGAGCTGCCAGGTCTAGGGACTGCCCACGGCATCTCCTCTGTCCACCCACCCCGCCCACATACCTGAAGAGCAGTAAGATGAATGGTTCACATGTGTACCCCTCCCAGCATGATCAAGAATTTTTCGTGCACTCGGTCTTCCCGAGACTTGAGGAAGGTGGGGCAGGGGTGGAATGCCTTGCCCAAGGTTACCAGCTAGTCCAGAGGAAGAGTCAGGAAGCCTAGCCATGACTTGTAGTTCAGTGCTCTTTCTGCCCCTGGCACTGCCAGCCTCCCCAGGTGCTGAAGCCTCCAACTCCACCCCTCCTGAGCCCTCTCCTACAGAGCCCCAGCCTCTGCTGCATGCCCAGGCTAAGACTGTTGGCCAGTCTGCTGGTCAGGCCTGCTTGGCCAGACTGTTTCCTATCAGGCCAAACTGGACCTTCTGGCTTAGCATTCAAGGCCCCTGCTGTCCCCCTTGCCAAGCTTACCCTTCTTCTCCCTTGCTCTATAACTTTCTCTCCAACCCCACATCCCACCTACACACACACAGACATACACACTACAGCACAGGGGTAGAGAGCTAGATCAGGTGAGTCTCTTCGCTAACCCGCAGTCTTCTTATCTGTAAAATGGGGGTGTAAGCAGCAGTCCATCACAGGGTTGTTGGGGTGCTGAAATAAGACAATGCAAGTCAAGGTAAGCCTGCCCAAGGCTTAGCATTTAGCCCCAGCTTCAGCCCGGGTGCTGCAGACATAACTAACTGCACTTCTCTGCACCTCCCCGAGTCCTTCACACCCCTGTACCCTTCTTGGGACGTTGCCAGTGGAGACTTTTCCCTCATCTGACCTCTCACACCCCTGGGAGCTGTAAGAAAACCCGGGGAGGGGGTGGTCTGGGATGTGGAGAGGGAAGAGTAGGAGATCTGGTGGGTGGAAACTTGACGCCCCCCAAACCCATCAACCCCAATTCAAGCAGAACACCTCTGTTTTAATGCTTTGTACATGTTGGGATGCTACTTCATGATTCCATTGCTAATAAAGCCTGAAAACCACTGACTTAAAACCCCTTTCTCACTTCAAGAAAGGAAACTGCAACTTTGGTTGACCTGAGATCACACTGCTTGTGGGCTGTTATAGTCAATGACAGGCTTGAGCCAGGTCCCAGCCACTTCTAGACCTGAACACTTAGAGACCTGGGAGTCTCCACCGCTGGCAGGAGAGAGTCCTAGAGAACAGTTCTAGAGAACATCTCCAGTTCCCCTCAGCCCCCGGCACTGATCCCAGGACCCCAGGGCACAGTAGGTAGGTGCCAGCCAACTGGGAGGACAGGTCACAGATGGTTCTGGGGTTACCCACAGGCTGTGTATCCTTCAGAGATTCCTTGTACCTCTCTGAGCCTCAGCTTTCACACATGGAAATGGTTACTCTCTGTCCCAGATGGGGCAGGATCTGGCACCCAGTTGGTGCCCCGCAAATGGGAGCTCTCCATCCCCACCCTTCCTCTCAATCAATACTTGCTCCATTGATGGATGACGGTGACAGTGATGAATTACAGGAGATCCTGGAGCCCCGCCCCTTTCTTCTTGCACGGATGGGGAAACTGAAGCCCAGAGTGGGGAAGGGACCCGCGCAGGGACACAGCGAGTCTGCGCAGGGTGGCCATTCTGGCAGTCACCAGGGCGAGATTCAGGGGCTGGGGGGTGGGGGTGAGAACGAAGCTGCTGAGGGTGGGGCGCAGGGAACAGGTGGGAGAGAGGGAGTGAGAGAGGAGGGTGGGAAACCACCACCACCCCCGACACTCCTGAAGCAGGGAGGCAGACAGAGAGAGCCTGAGACAGCTGTTTGCTCAGAAAAGTGTCTTAGTCACTAAAGGCTGCAGTGGGGAAAGTCCATCCTCCCAGTCATGTCCTAGGAATCCGGATTGGGGGGGCGCAGGAAGGCTGCCGGGTGACCCTCAGAGGGGCCACCTGTCTTCTCTGAACCAGACTTTCTTCTCGGCTTCCTCCAGTGCCCCTGTGGGTACATGAACACACAAATCCCCCAAATAAGTTGCTTCTGACCTTCAAGGACCATCTTCTCCATTCCCCTCACCCCTTAAGAAGAGTTCGCTGACTTTCCACTTTAAAAAGGAGCCGGCGGGGGCGCCTGGGTGGCTCAGTAGGTTAAAGCCTCTGCCTTTGGCTCAGGTCATGATCCTGGGGTCCTGGGATAGAGATCAAGCCCCGCATCAGGCTCTCTGCTCAGCAGGGAGCCTGCTTCCTCCTCTCTCTCTCTGCCTGCCTCTCTGCCTACTTGTAATCTTTGCCTGTCAAATAAAATAAATAAAATCTAAAAAAATAAATAAATAAAAAAATAAAAAGGAGCGGGTGTGTCCCTCTGCTCATTATACATACCTGCAGGAGAAACAGTCCTCTGTGTCCTATGAAAGTCCTTCCTGAGGTCTAACTTTCATTCCTCTAGCAGCAACCATGGTGTCCTTCCTTTTCCTGCTACCTTTGAGGGGGATAATCTAGAGCTGGAGTTGGGAAAGGTAATGTGGGGCCCTCTCCTGGCAGTGAGAGCTCCTCACAAAGGAAGGGACTTCTTCAGTCCCCCAAGTGGGAAGAGAACTGTGGGGTTCAGAGGTGATGCTAAGCGTCAGGATCAAATTTCCAAGAACAGACCCAATTCCAGATATCCTGGGTGTTGGTAAGGGCAACCTGTGTTCAAGTGGGGTTTCTGCCACAGAAGAGTCTTTAGACCCCAAGAAAGACCTCCAAATCCCTTACAACTGTTTTTCTTTCCACCTACCATTCAGGTTCCCAGACCTTAGTCCCACCCTGCAGGACCCCTGATTGATGTAGTCTAGACAGTCCCATAGTGTCTGGGAGGGGGGTGCCAAGTCTAGGGGCTGCTGGCTTTAGCCCACAGGGAAAGGATGGGTTAACCCAGCGCAGGCATTGCATCTGTGGTTGGGCCCTGGGGTCCAGAAACCTTCCCCAGCTGCCAGCGAGGTCGGGGCATAACCTGCCCAGAGGCACCAGGCTCTGGCCCTGGGCACACCTGGAGCCAAAGAGCAGCAGGAAAGATTCAGGTCAAACCCCAGAAGGTACCCCGTGTTGTGCAGAGGGAGAAAGGTCACTGTCCGGGTCGGGGTGTGGGCCGGCTGCCAAGCTCAGCTTGGGGACCCCCCAGGTCCCTGCAACACCCTCCCCGACGCCTGCAGATCTGCCTCCCTCCCTCCCCCAGAGGCGCTCAGCAGATCAATGCTGCCTTTGCTGACAGCTGAGAATCGAGCTCGCCTTCCCGCCCCCTGCCCCGCCCCTCCCGCTCGGCTCCGTCCCCCGAGAGACTCCCGGAGGAACCGAGAAGAGTTTGCTGCGGAAGCCTTCACCCTGGGGCAGGGCCTGCGGAGGGAGCTGCTGGTGTGGCCGAAGCAGCCGTCAGAGGAAGAGGGAAGGAGGATCGGGAAACCCAAATGACCACTCCTCGCAGGGCCGAGAGGACTAAAGGGAACGAAAGGCCTGCCCCCTACCGCTAGAGAGAGGAGGTCAGGCACCCAGAACTTTCCAGCTGGAGAGGCAGTGCGTGGGAAAGAGTCTCCCGTTTGGGGGTGGGATTCTGCGGGCCTCTGGGGACGAAGTCGTCCAGCCCGCCGCGCTGGTTCAGAGCTCACCTCCCAACAGCCACGTGCCCTGACCCTGACCCTGGAGGCAAGGGAGCGGTTCAGACTGGCTTGGCGGGGCGCAGGCCCTCATTCGCAGGAGACTCTTCTTTGGGGCGGGGCGGCGGCTGGGGGCTCGTCCCCCAACCGGAAGAAAGCAAGCTTAGACGTGGGGGGGTGGGGATGGGAGGACGAGCGGACACACCCGGGGTCCGCTGTGCGACACGCTGTGACACAGCTCGGCAGCGCCTGGACAGCAGGCCTTTCCCGTGGGCGCTGCTCACCGAGCCACACGCAGCCCCGGCACACTTTACACACTCCTCCCGGCGCACTAAGGGCACGCCCCGATGGCGAGGGGCACACCTCCTCGCTTTCACCTCCACCACCTACCGGGGCCTGCACCGTGCACACTCATCTTCACACCTAGCCACACAATGCCCACGCCACGCACCTGCATGGACTCTATCCCGTCACCGCGCGCACCCACAGCCACCCGCGCGGCACACACGGGGCACGCACTTCTGGAGCCACTCACACCTGAACTCCACGGGACGCCGAGTCCCATCCACTGTCGCGGCCACGGCTGCCCAGCCCACGCCCCCACTTTCCGGAGCAACCCCCCACCCCCGCGAGGCGTCCAGCCCAGCCGGGCCTCGCGGTCTCGGCAGCCCCTCGCAGCAGGGCACGCCACTAGCACGCGGCCAGCCCCCGGGGGCCGCCGCCACGCGGTCAGGTCCCGGCACCGACTCGTCGGCCCGCATGGCCGGTGCGCCCAGCCCCGCCGGCTGCTCCGCGCGCCCCCCTCCGCCTCGTCGCGCCCGCCCGCTAGCTCCCTCCCGATTTGGGAAGGCGGCCGCGGGGCGGGCGGGGGCGGCGGGGGAGGGGCGGGGCGGGGGAGGATGACATGTGAGCGGCGCGCCTGAGGCAGGTGGAAAGGCGAGCGGCATGGAGCGCGTAATAAGAGAGTTGGAGTCGGAAAGAGCCGCCCCAGTCGCCGGGGAAGCGGGCGGTCAGTGCGGGCTCCGGCGGCCCCCAGGCTCCGCGCGCCCGCCCCCGGCCCCCGCGCCGCCCCGGCCCGGCCCCTAGCCCCCAGCCGCCCGCGCCCGCCCCGGGCCGCCCCCGCAGGGCCCGGGTCCGAGCCATGCGCCACTGAGCGCCCCGCGCGCGCCCGCCCGCCCCGGACCGCAGCCGGGCCCCGGCGCCCCCCCAAGCCCACGCCCGGCGCCGCCCATGGCCGAGGCCCCCCCGCGCCGCCTCGGCCTGGCCCCCCCGCCCGGGGACGCCCCCCGCGCCGAGCTGGTGGCGCTCACGGCGGTGCAGAGCGAGCGGGGCGAGGCGGGCGGGGGCGGCTCCCCGCGCCGCCTCGGCCTTCTGGGCAGCCCCCTACCGCCGGGCGCGCCCCTCCCTGGGCCGGGCTCAGGCTCGGGCTCCGCCTGCGGCCAGCGCTCCTCGGCCGCGCACAAGCGCTACCGCCGCCTGCAGAACTGGGTCTACAACGTGCTGGAGCGACCCCGCGGCTGGGCCTTCGTCTACCACGTCTTCATGTGAGTTTGCGACCCCGCGCCCCTTGCCGCGCCCCCGCGCTCCCGCCCCGCCCGGCTCCTGCCGGAGCCTGGGCTCCCCGGGGCCGACGCGGGCCGCCCTGGCTCCGCCCCCTGCCCCCCATTCCCGCGGCCGACCCTCCTCTCGCTCACCCCCAGGCCTGAGCCCGATTTCTGATCCTCCCCCAGCCTGACCTTAACCCTGATCCCCAGGTCCTGACCCCTGCTTGACCTCGCTTCTGACCTCCCTACCTCAACTATTTTCATTCTGATCTCCAACCCCTGCTCCTCCGTCCCATTCCCAGGTACTCCCCACATCCAGTGTCTTGTCCCCCATCCTCTCTGCATTCCAGAGCCACTACGGTGGGATCCTCTTTCCTCTTCCCTGTCTCTGCCTCCTTGTGCCCCAGACACAAAGGGGACCCAGTGGCCCCCACACAATTTGTTACTATCTCCCCAACTTTGTTGCCACAGTGGGCTCCCACCTGGGCGCCCCTTGGAGATGGCCCTCTACAGGGATGGCCTCCACCCCAGTCCCAGTTGGCCCCCCACTGTAGGGGCTCAGGGGTCCCTGTGAGCCACCTGAGCCCTGACACTCGTGTGTGCTGTGTGACGGTCTTCATCCAGCCTCCCCTCCACCTTGCACCCGCCGGTGGCCCCAGCAGCAGCAGCGGGCTGCCCTGGCTACCCCGGTGCCTGGGCCCGCTAGCCCGCCCCACTCACTGGCTGCTGTACCAGGCCTGGCTCTGGGCGCCCTGGGGAAAAAGAAAGAGGAGAGCGGTCGGTTTGGAAACACTGACGCTGCTGGCCCCCTCCTCCCCCTTGCCAGGCTCCTACAACTTTCAAAAACACTGACCCCTCTTGGATGTAAAGAGTGAATTTTGGCAGCCTAGAGCTCAGTCTTGGGGGACGGCCTGGCCCAGCCAGGAACATGAGAGGCCCCGCGGATATCAGTTGAAGGGCTGGGCCTGGCGGCTGGGACGCTTGGAGGTGCCCGAGAAAGACCTCGGGTCCCTGGAAAATGTACCGATATTAATCCCTTCTTGCTGCCTTCAGAGCGGGCCCTTTAGTCTATGGGGTCTCCTCGGTGGCCCCCTTGCCTGTCCACCTGACTGTCAGGCAGTTTTTCTGCCTTGTCTGGCTGTCTTTCTGCTGGAATTTCCACCTGTGTGCAAGTTAGCCTGTCTGTTCATCTCCCCCCCACCTCACTGTCCAGTGGTCCTTCTGCCTGTTTCCATCCCTCTGTGGGACAAGCATCCGTCTGTCCAGTTGTCCGTGTGCCTGTCCATCTGTCTTGGTCTTCTACCTGTCTTTTGGTCTGTTTTTCTGCCTGCCTCTGCCCCATCCTAACTGGGCGCGCAGAATTTCAGAGGTGAAGGGGAGCCCCCTGGCCGTAGGGAGGGCAGAGGAGGACTCTCTCAGCCAGTGTGCTCCTGGGGGTGGCAGCCTTGACTCAGGCAGAGACTCCAGCTGGGCTAGGCCAGGGGCAGAGGTGAGTTGGTCAGGACATGAGGTCAGACTTAGGGTCAGAGTCAGAGTCAACTGTTAAGGGTAGCCCAACCCCCAGTGCCCATTGGGAGCATCTGGGACGAATGTCTTTCGCTGCAGAGAGGATTGTGGGAGTGATGACAGTACAAGGGAGTCGTACAGAGTCAGGTGAAAGCCACAGAGGACTGCTAAGGAAAGGTGGTCGAGTTGCCCACATCAGCCTGGGGCGCCCAAGGAGGCTGAGACATTCCACGGAAAGGGGCTGTGCCTTCATGGGCTCCTCTTGGGAGATGACCCTTCCGAGGCAAGGCTGGGCCCAGGGAAACCAGTAGGCCTCTGAGGCGGGGGTCTTTTGTCCTGAGGCCTGGTCTCTCAGGCCCCCAGGGGTCACCAGAGGTGAAGGACCCGCCTCATGTCCTCCGGCCAGCCGCTGTCTTCGCCTCTTCTGGAAGGGCCTCTCCTTCCTCTCCAGGAGCTAAATCTGCTGGCAGCTTTGCCCCACATCCTGCCCTTTCCGGATGCCAGGAATGCCCTGGCCAGGGGCGTGCTTGTTCTGACCACTTGTGCCCGGGAGCCCAGGGACGAGGCATCTCAGGAGCTCTGGGGGAGGAAACGCGGCGTGAGAAGATCCACAGGGCTAGGGAATCTCAGGGAACTAGGCTTCTGTCTTAGAGATCAAACGGAGCGAGGGATTGGGAGCCCCACCTCTTGGGGGCTGTGTGATCTTGGATGGATCACTGTGCCTCTCTGAGCTTTTAGATGTCTTGGCCGTCAGAGTGGGTAGAAACCCCAACCTTGTGGGCCTCGCTCTCAGATGAGGTAATAGGTGGGAAAGAGCCTAGTGTGCGGCAAGGGCCTGAGTGTGAAAGATGGGGGTTATTCCTGGGGCTGGAGGAGGGGGCCAGACCGGAGGCTTCTGTTGCTCCTGAGGTGCTCCAGATGTGGGGTTTCTCAGTCACTCACTCTGGGGTCTTGGCTGTTCTTGCCAGGAAGTGCTTCCTGCTGTTGGACTCCTAGCCCTCCCGCTGCACTCTTGGCCAGATCCTTTCCCACCTCCACAATGGGCGCCCAGAGGTGGCTCAAGTGCAGGGGTCTCATTGTGCTCAGTTAGCTAGCCCCCCCTTCCCAGAGACTCAGGCCCTAGCAGGAGGGGCTTGGCAGAAAAGCCTGGAAAAGAAGGGCTCAGGAAGGAGGGCACTGGGGTGAGCTGGGTCCGTTCACCCCAGGGGGACGTCAGCCTCACACCTGCCAGTGAGGTCCCCACACAGCCCACATATTTTCTGGCACTGAAGACTGTCCAGAGGATGAGCTCGGATTCTGGCCCTTCTGCCCCTGCAGCTGTGGTCTCTGGGACGTGGGAACCGCGGACTCCCGTCTTCTCCTTATTGAGGTCCAGGATGAGGGGTTGCAAGCCCCTTCTCCCATCTCTCTCACCTCTCTGTAGGCCCCTGGTCCTGTCCCTAAACCCCAGCCCCTCCTCAGTGTTCCAGTCTCTGATTAAGGCCTCAACCCTTCACAGGCTCTGCTCTCTGGATTTGGAGAAACACCACAATCACTACCCGTCCTGCTTTTTGAGCCTTTGGTGGGTGGTTGGCGGGGTGGGGGAGGAGGCCCACCTCCTCTCTGCACCCTTTCAGAGCTCCCCTGCCCCGCCCCCCAGCCTCACTCTTGAAGTTGGAGGGCTGGAGGGGGCTGATACAAGGCAAAGTCATTACCCCCCGCTTTCCTCACGCCACTGTGAGACTCTGGCTGCTCCCAGCCCCCAGCTGCCCAGTGCTTTCTCTATGTGAAGGTTTTCACTCTGTAAACATCCTCCTCAGCCTTGTCCCTGGGGTCAGAAGCTGTGGGAATGGGGAGGGGAGGAGGTGGCGGCAGCTCCTGGGGCCCTCAGACTCCTAACCCCAGAGTCTTCCAAGCTCCCACCCTGCCCATCTGAGAACGATCACTGCCTGGGTTGGTAATCAGCCCAGTAAAGGGGGCCCAGAGGCCTCAGGCGTCCCCAAGAGGTGGGTCGACATTTTGATAGCCCATTTTGCTTATAAGAAAACTAAGGCTCTAAGGACCCACGTCACCCAGTGAATCAGAAGCAAATGTGGAACCAGACCCCAAGACTCCTGACTCCCTATCCAGGCCGTGCCCCCTGCTCCCTGCAGTTGCCTGGCAGGGTTGGGGGGGGCGGTGGTGGCTCCAGCAGTTGGAATGGAAATTTCTCATCACTCGTTGAGCGGCAGTGATCACCGGGCCATCTGTAGACCACCTCCACCAGGCAAGTGCTGCTACCCTCCTCATTTGACAGGTGGGGAGACGAGGCTCAGGAGCGGTCTCTGTGGAGCCTCCTGAGAGCGAGGGCTGACTCAGACCTCCTTGTCCCGCATCTAGGCTTCAGCCAGGGCCCCAGCCCCGGGCCCCGCAGGAGGGCCGCTCCTGTGCCATTTGTTTCTCTGCCCCAGCACGTAGCACCCAGCCCTCAGCACACAGCACCCAGCACCCAGCACCCAGGCACACACACACACATCCCCGCTGCACACTCAACTGTCTGTCTCGTGCACACACTCACTATAGCTTTGACACGTGTGGCCATGGACATCCCAAACGCATCTGTGGCACACATCCAAGGAAAGGAAATCTAACATAGAGCTGCCCCTACCTCTTCACTGACTTCACAGAGATGCTCCCGGGCCTGCCGCCCCAGCCCAGACCCCTAGCACAGAAGAGAGCCAACCCCCTCCCCTGAGTTTCTTGCCTCCACCTGTCCACACCAGCAGGGCTGCCCTTACAGGCCTCGGTTTATTTGTGCGTCCACCTGGGAGGGCAGCCCCAGGGCCACGTGGGAGCAGATTAGCTGGCCTCCTAGAGTTCGGCTGGCCTTTACTTTCCCTGAAGGCCGCCCCCGGGACCGTTCTGCCCAGGCCCGCAGTGTGCTGCTGAGTCCACTGAGGCACGGAAAGGAGTGTCACACCCGGCAGATCGGTAGTACAACTGTGCCAGGAACCCAGGCCTCTGCCTCCCAGATCAGGACTTTAGATCTGTTCCTCACCCCAGCTGATGGTGAAGGCTAACATCCCAAGAACTTGGCCTTGTGATGGGGAAAGTCTTGGAGTGTGACCCAGATTTTTGGTGCTGCTGTTTTTCAGTTCTCATTCTTTTGTTTGGTCCTTATGAGGAGGGGGTGAATGGAGAGACCATCCTGCCAGCTTTCTATCCCTTCTTCTGTTCCTCTCCCTGCCCCTTAGGCCCCTTGATGCCCTCCTGCCCAAGTTAGACTTCTCATTGCTACCCCACCCTGACTCCATAGTATGTTCATTCCTTCCATTGAGGAAGCCCTGCTGAAAGTCTGACTTTTGTCCCTACTGCTGCGGAAACCTCTGTTCTCCCAGTGTTGGAGCCAGGAGTGTTTCGAGAGGTGATTATTCTTGGGCTGATGGCAGCATTTTGAGTGGGTGATTAATTTAAGGTTCTCTGAGCCAGTCAAGGGAGCTGAAATCTCCCGGGGAGCAGGAGAAAGGAAAGCTCTG